TGTATCATTACCCTCTGCTCTACCAAGAATAGATTTGGTCAAATATTGTGTCTCCTAATGTCGTGTGTCCATACATCCGGAAAACCAGTTTAAAAATATCGACATTACCGTTGATTTCGGACAGAAAGTTTAAAAAATGAAGGACTTTTGAATTTCTCGCGCTTTTTCTGCGCTGCCACTGGGTAAGGTATTCTAAAAAAAATTACAGAACTGATGTAAAAACATTACCGTGTCATTAAATTCAGCTTTTAAAAATATTAATTAGCTGAAGTTCAGACATTCCGAGGGTTTTCAATGTGCTGGTCATATACAGTATTTTAATGTACGTTTTAAGTTCATGGATCCGGTGCGGATAGAATCAATTTTAGGCGAGTTTTTAAGAAGACCATTTTTTTCATTTCATAACAATAAAACCATACTATATATCAAAGTTGCTCGAGTTCGCTACTCATTTTCGAAGAAAACTTTCTTTCATATTCCATGCTTCACCTATACTCGGGTATAGAGACTACTGCATTATAGGGCACTATAGCTGCCGTAAAAAAATACAATTTTGTATTCAGTACTGTAACTGCATCCAACTTTTCATTGCATGTCGAAAGTTTCATTCTGAGATTTAATTCAAAAATTCTGACGAAACCGTCAGAAGGAAAGGAATTGACGAAGAACGAGCCAATATAGGTCGAAGAACTCGTGATTTTCGGAAGTAAAGTCATCAAAAAATCAGTTTCCACATCCCTACATATTCGTCATCTAGAATAAAACCAGCTGCCGTAAATTCCTGATACAGAAACGCAATGACGATTGATGGAAATAAACGAATTGAACTTGATGAAATTGTAACTTATAACAAACAAGAATCCCTAAAAGTTCTATTCAAAAGGAACCACAAGTATTTTTTTAATTCGCTCAGTTCCATTCTAACGAAACCCCCCCCCCCCCCCAATATATATATATATACTGTATGAGTCATAGCATAACCTAATTTTCAAGTTTTAAAAATCCAATAATCTTTAAATCCTCAATTCATTTACAAAGGGAATAACGCGACAATGGCGTCATTCAATTCAAATGAAGCAAGCAATCATGTCGCGGGAAAATTGCGACTAAAACTAATTTTATCATCCTTTTACTGTAGCATGCCCTTATTATACGAAACGTGTTATTCAGACGTCGCAGAATGCGTGTGAATTTCCACGATCCGAAGATTTAAATAATTTTTATTTTAATATTTTCAAAGCCAATCCATCGTAAAAAAAAAACGACTATGCAGAACTCTTCGAATGGATTCCCCAACTACATTTTTCATTCCATATATTGCGAGTATATTTTTTGATCGAACTTGTTCCAACTTGAACTGCTTTCACTCCATCTTTTGAAAAACCCTTCTAAACCTTCAGAAACCCTAAATTCTTTATAAATTGTAACTGACGACTTGTTTGCCCCTCTCCTATATAAAAAAACGTGCCTTAGAGTTTTTTCAAACCGTCTGACCGTGCTCAGTCTCCTAACCCCCAACCCCTTGTGACAAGAACACTAGGCAACATACTTTTATTTTTAAATTTGTTTGGGATTTAATAAACAAAAACTCTGCTCACGAGAAAATGTTGACCCGCATTTTAAACCTAGAATAAAATGTGATTCTAATTGATACTTGAGTTTAAATTTTATCATTATTTTGATGCACAGGTGTAGCTGGGCACCTCAAGCTTGTATTCGTATAAAATATATTTTCTCACCAGACTGTCCTCGATCGGAGGACTCTGAATAACTGCTGGTCTTCCCGATCGTCGTGTAAGCATGGTTCACCATCGGCACTTGGGACATCATGAGGTGCTTCAGGGGCGAGGAATGCGGATGAAGGATCTCGTAAGCCGGGCCGCCGCAACTCGCGTCACTTCCGGCACTCGACAGCAACAGAGACCCACCACCGACGGGTCCGACGCTGCCGAACCCTTGCTCGCAACCGTAGTCGTCCTCCACAGCGACCTGTCCGTAGATCTTCCCGTTGGCCCTCGAAAACCCGTTGTTCATCGGGGTCAGGTTCATGTTCATTCGCAAATCCTGGCAAATGCAATATGAAAAAAACACACACACACACACACATGAAGTCTTTTGAAAACACATCCATGGAATCAAATGTGAATGCCTTTCCCACAAATAACCCGTGTCGTACAATAAGAAGTACAGAATAATTTATGTTTCACGGCTCTCGGCCTCATATATTACGCACTATACAGTACTAGTTTTGTAAACCAAGCTGAAAATCGTACGGCAGTTATTTGGAAACTTGCAGTCTTTTCGATTAAAAATTGCAGAAAGCTCGGTGATCCTGGCATAAAATCATCTGCCAGTTGAAGTACTTCAAACAAACTAAACTGCTGCTACCCTGAGCATTTCTTTCCAGTAGAATAATGAATACCTGCCCTTGGCATGAGCAAAGTATTTTTAATAAGCCAAGGTTTTAAATTCGAAAAGAAAACGAACAAATTCATGAAATAAGATTGAAATGCGTATTCATTTCCTGGGCATGAGGAAAACATTATTTTGCATAAGATCTGGGCAAAAATGTCAGGCGGACGAGTCAAGAAGATTTTTTCTCAAAAAACCTTTTTTTTGGGCGGCTTTTTGTTTTTGCAATGGATTGGAAATATTTTCTCAGCGTCGAATTTTGAGAATTTCGAAAAGGTATGCTAATATTTTCAGCGGAGTCCGAAAAAATTCTAGCGGTCATTCACTGACCAGCTTTTCAGTTAGAGAAACGGTTCGAGTAAATGCTCAGACATTAATTGAAGGACTTTTTTCTTTTACCCCAGGCATTGATACTGAACAGTTCATCTGGGTAATGTAACAACCAATGTCATCGATGAAATTCCACCTTCGTGTGTTTAATTTGAAAACGTATTCCCACATTCCCAACTCATTCAGGTATAAGAATGTATACAGAAAAATACGCGTTCGCAAAACTTCAGTCCAGTCCCCGGTAAATTTTTCAGCTGCTCTGCACAAGAACACAGACTTCGCAAATACCTATATAAGCCCTGCAAAAGTTCCAAGAACACAGTCAAGATGGGGAATTTCTCCATCGTCGCCGAATTTCAGGCTAATGTAACTCACTGGCAAGATTTTAACTCGGTATTTCCTTTTCAGGCTTTTTCCAAAAGGAATCTTTAGCTCAGTTGTTCAAGATCCTGCGGCAGAAGATATCGCAGAAGTTTGAGGCAAGATTAATGACTTTTGGGACCTCGGAATAAAGCCTGACAGAGATACACGTACTGTAATGGAAGTCCTTGATGAGTTCTGGCGAATATATGCTGGAAGCTTGTTTTCAACACAACTCTTCCTATTCGAAAGTTTTCTACGTTGTTCTGTTTCACATCATCAGTAGGAAATTTCGAAGAAGCTGGTAGTCCATTTCAACAGCGTTTGTTCATCGGGAATCCGTATACAGTAAATCAATTATGCGTCGATTGACATGCGTTTTAAAAGAGTCCCAAATATTCGGATTTTTCTTTCCAACTGAAAAAACAACGGAAATTAAAACTTTACAAGTCGATTGCTGAGCGAATGAAGAACATAGCCCATTAGCTAAAACACATTTAATCTTTTTTAAATCTAACATTACAAAAACCAACAAGAAGACGAATTTGACATAATCTTGAAATTTTGTACTATAACAGCTTAAGGCTCTTTGCGGCTGTTCATAAGAAACACTATAGACCTTATATTCATTCAGCAGAGCTCATTGCATTTTTATTCGTGATCTCATACACATGAGCTAAACGTTGTGTTTCACAACAACAAAAAATTCTCGGCTATAATTCCTCAGCTAATGATTTTACCCGAAAAAATCAAATAAATTCCGTCATCTAAACATAAGTACGAAGAATGAAGATGGCGAAAAACTTGGATTTCTTTCTTGAGGACGAGAAAGAAAAAAATACTTTCGTCGTATAACTTCCCTTTCTTTCAGAAAAACTGATCATGAAAAATCTTCCAGCAAAATTTTTTTTTTAAATTGAGAACGATTTTAACTTTTCTTGTCATCACCATGCCAGTCATCCATTGCATATAGCTCAGTGTATTCAAGCAACTCCCACAAAAACTCGAGTGCATTTCCGTCAAGGAAGCAGCAGAAATGCGACGGATGAAAAGGCAGTGAAAACGCGTGCATTTGCCATTTGAGAGCATCAGAGGCACAATAAGTCGATGCATGAAATGCAACGAAAGAAATAGAGACAGAGAGAAAGAGGACGAACCTTCATGTTGATAGTGACTCTTTTCTCGTTCAAAGAGTCCTTGCCGTTGCCAGCCAGCGGAGTGCCGCCGCCCTTGACGCGTCGCCGTTTGCTCTTGAGCACGAAGGCGAACATCACCCCGCCGCAAAGCACGACGACGGCAGCTAGGACGCCGACGACGACGCCAACGACAGTCAAGTCCGGCCCGTCGTTGCTCCTGTCACCCGCGTGCGGCGGCGGGTCTTTGCCGCCGTCGCCACTAGTGCCGCCGCCGTTATTACTGCTGCTGCTGCTGCGGTGCTCGACGATGTCATCGCCCAGCACTGGAGGAACCCGGGCCGGGGTGGCGAAATTCTCGTGATGCGGCGGGAGAACGTCGTCTGGGGCCGTCAGCACCGGCTCTTCTTCATCTGGACGATCTCCTTTCAAGATTTCTGAAAGAAAGACCGAATAGCAAACTTTCTTGAAGTAAACGTTTTTTTCCCCCTCTTCTTTCAAGAAGCTCGCTCATAAGTTTATTCTGCATTTTTCGTCTTGTTATGAAGCCATCGCTTGACGTAAGTATAGCTGCATGCCGGACGTAATATTCGAGGGCTCGCGATTGATCATTTATTTATTGACCATTGTCTAAATTTTCGCTTTCCGGGATGATACATTTGAAAGAAGACAGAAAAAATCAACGTGAAAAAGCTCGCAATCACAGGTTTCAATGTTCAACGACTTTGCATGCCGTTTCAGTTCCACCAAATATTTTGAATGCAGGAAATTAAAAAGAAAAAACCTCACTGAAAGTACATCGCATTTGAAACCACTTCAGTAAAGCCTTTCCAACTTTTCATCATTTTTTCTAATATTAGCGAGACTGAATGTGACTATTGCTTCAGCACATATTGATTGACAAGAAACAAAAAACCTTGGTCAAGTCAAAGCTGTGAAAATTTGAACTTGAGAGGCCTGATTCAAGTTATTATTTGATTCCATGGTATTTCGAAGTACAGTATTTTAAACTATTTGATTCAAAAACGTATCGATGACCAAATAACTTCATTTTGAGTCAGTGGCAAAGAAATTTGCGAACCGTACCTTGTAAAAAGGGTTAGTTCATAAAGTATGAATCTCTGGGCATTTTCGTGACTGAAGCTGGTATCAAGTACTGTACTGTACTATATTTTGAGACACTATCTTCTAGAAATTATAAATCAAAATTTCATGAACCTACGTTGAAAGCAGTTGCAGAAAAAGAGCATGATTTGTCTCCTCCATGACCAGATGTGCACGTCGCAGAATATTTGCATATGCATTCTCGCATTTATCTTACGAAAAAAACCATAAAATCACCGACATATACAGGTATTGCGGGCCTCTGATTGACGAGGTTATGTCGATAGCGCAGTTTATCATGAATTTAAAGAATCCCCGCATAATACTGTATTGGTTTTGATTAACTGAACAACATGTGACTCAACACTCATAAACTGTCGAGGGAGATAAATTCCGCAGAAACGCTGCGCAATTTTCCCTTCAAGATTTCTTCAATGAATAAATTTTGAGTAAATTTATTCCAGAGAACTTCCGACGGTTCGAGAAACAGCTGAAGAAATATCAACGCGAATTTCTCATTCAAAGTTCAATGCATATTCCACTTCATATTCATGAAGCAGAATACAAGAATAAACACAGACGAAATTTGCGAAACATCGCTCGAGCTCATGCCAATAAATTTAAATTCGCAACCGTGATTAAAGTGCCCGTTTTTATGCTTCATTCGAAAAGAGTTGCATGAAATTTCAACTTCGAATTAAAACTCAGAATTTAATGCGTGTAAACATTTAATAAAATGCAACAGAATGCGAAACTTGTTGCATTCACCATCGATTTTCACAGTTATACATGAAAAAATTGATCGTCCCGCGAAAGGATGATCAGAGAATTGCTTGACATTCCAAAGTTTGAAAAAAAAACCACACAATATTGGTTAATGATTTTTTAAATAATTATCACTTCAAGCATTTCAGGTCTCTTTGATAAAATTATACCGATATCGATGCAGGCGCGAAGAAAAGTTGTAGAATAATTCTCAAAACTAATGGAGATCACGATTATTTCAATACTCGTTTTCTGAAGAAACATTCGAAGGCAGGAAAACATATTAAAAGGTTAACATCCTGGATGAATTCCGATATTTCAAGTTAAAACCCCACGGTGAGAAGAATAAAATAAAAGTCGTCTCGGAAAACTGCCCTTTCAACGAAATAACCCCCCGTGACGGAGCTGGGAATGACTCGGCAAAAATGTGACGGCAAGTGGAAAGCCACACCGCTTTGTCAAATATTTTCCGCGTTTGATGATTCAATACTGCTCTCTTCCTCTTACTGGTTCAAAAAGGTTCAATGGCTGCAAAGAAACGAATAAGAACTGCCTCGAAAGCATCGCTTGTTCTCATGCTCGAACATGCTCCTCAAACACACAGGGAAAAATTTGCCGCTCCACGCGCACACAAAGGCCGCTCTTCACTCACGCCGACGCAAAAATAAATATACTGAGCCGTACTTTTGAAAAAAAAGAAAAAAGGTAGAAAAATTATGGCTCTGCGAGAAGAAGAAGAAGTTTAAAACGCCGAAAAAAGTGAATTGCCTCGAACAAACGACTGAGTTAACAAATTGACGAAATCGACTGAAAGCTATTTGAACTAAAGTAATTCAGGACATGCCTTTCGCCAGCAGAGAATCCGAGGAATTTTTCGATCTTCGTCAGGAATTACGAGTATTTTCTTTTCTTGCGTTCGACTCTCAGGGATTTTGAACCAATATTGTATCTCGTGATTACAATTGAAGCGTATACTCGTAAATATTTTTCCCAAATATTTAGCAGCTACAAACATCTTTCCCGACACCTGATAAGGGGTAATGAAATAGTTGATTGTGAATGAAACGCCCGAGTTTTGGCTTTTAAAAAATTACGTCAGATAAAAATGTCATTAAAACTCACTCTAGCAGAAATTTTATTTCGGAAAATCATTTAAAATCACTTCAATAATTCAACTCAAGTGAATTCAATTTCTGAACATAAAAAATCGTCGAGTCCAGCTTGAGCAGAACAAATATTATTTCCAGAACGACGCGTCGTGAGTTATGAACACACGCCAGCAACCTCTTTTTCTTCAGACTTCAGTCCAGAAACAAATTACTAAAAATGCATATATTTTTTTTAGGAATTTCAACAAAAAGAAAGGGAAGGTTAAAAATGTTCCTCCGCGTTTCTCGTTCTCATGACCACATGTGCCTTGAACATCCGCAAGAGACGAACTTTCCCAGACTGCGAATGGGTTCATCAGTTTTCGTCTTGCGTCATGTTCGGAATTCACAATCATCCCGGCGCGAGGGAGTTTTTATGGAAATAATTTCCGAACATCTGTGACCCAGTGAAGCACTTGGTATTGGCTGTATATATATTTTTTTCTTCTATGAACTATGGTCATAGGTTATGAGCTTATGCTCAATGTTCGGCGGGGTATACGTACTCATGTGACTAACGAGAAACAGCGCGACGAGATAATGGGAAGAAAGAAAAGTTGGGGTACGAGTCTGGAATGATAACGGGGTTTCCTGCTGCTCTTAGTCCAATTTTCTTGTACAGTACATGTCCCGACATTTGTGCAAATGCAGCTGATGTAGGGGATACGTGTGTATAGCAGAACTTGCATACGAATAATTTATACTTATCCGATTACCGTTACAGCCCTGAACTTCAACTACAAGGACGGAAAATCTCAAAATGAGATTTTGCTTAATGGCGTACTCAAAGTTAAAGCATTCCAACATGATTTTCTGATAGCATATCCGGAACTTCAATGCCCCGAAAAATGAAATCAGAAATAATTATAAATAAAATCCTTTTAACAGACTTCGCAGTCTGATAACCATGAGGTTACTGCTGCACTTGAATCAATCATGAATAAAAATATTTAAAAAGATTTACGTGAGAGATTAACGGTCGATTCATGGAATTTTTAAAATTCCAGAATGTGAAAGTGGTTCGCCGCAAACTGCGCAGTTGTTTCCGAAAAAAAAACAAAAAATAATCAATTTGGCAGAAGGGAAATTTTGAATAGACCTGGAATATCACTCCGAGCCAGGGAAAAATTTTCACATGTCTTCGATCTTTTGATATGGAGTCATTCGAAGCCACGCGTGACTAGGACAACATTTTTTTTTACGAATACCTTCGGCCGGTGATGGAAGCTCTTTCTCCGGGCATATTTTATTCAAATTCGCGTGCTTTTCTCATCAAAGTTTCATAAGAGATTTAATTTTCAACTTTTTCGCATTATACCGTAGCCGTTCCAAACATAACGCTTTATCAACGTACTTTTCTTTTGTCACGCCCTGTAAGATTTAAGCATGGAGACCTACAAAAGATTCAATTCGTTTAACACCTTTCCAAACGCTGTGAAGGCGTCGCGTCTCCAGCACTTTAAACGTACCAAAAGCGTGAAGAAGCAGTGAAGGACACCTTGTCGAATTCATTGGATTCGTACACAGGTCTATGCAACACAAGTTCAACAAACTAGCTCTGTACAAAATCATAACCACATTCTGGTTGCAACGAGCAAAGTGAAAAATACATTTTTTTTTTGTGCGCGCGAACCCCGCGAAAAACTAAGTCCTAAATTTGCCAAGTCGAGAGCGTATTCCACCGAAACTGACTGACAATGAGAAACAATCTCAGCTGAAAAGAAAATAAAAAAGGTCTTGAAAATTGGACTCGACAAGGTTTCCGCGGGATATTCGTACCATTTTTTTCCAAGGGGGAACACCTCCCTTTTACGGTTGGTTAAAACACTCCTCGCCCCCCTCCAATCAACGACAAAAAGAAAGAAGAGCAAATAAAAGGCTCGTCAAATTAAATTACCACCGACAAGATTCCGGACGAGTCTTCATCTAGTTCTTCTATCCCCCTCCCATCTTTTTTGTTCTCTCTCCCTCTTTTTCATTTTAACAGAAAAATATACGAAACAAGAAGAAGAAGAAGCAGTGTTCGTCAACGCCTCCGACGTCTGACAACGGAAAAACCAGCCTTAAGGAGAAGTGACAGATATCGATGAGGTCGGCAACTCCGGGGCGTTGTCACACGCGCGTCGTCGTCATTCGTAGCTTCCTCAGTACCCCTCGTCGTCACAGATACGAGGGGCATCTCAAAAGTCACGCGATTCGAACGAAAAATGTACGATATTGCCGGTAAATGACACATTTTTTCTAAAAAAATAATCTCCCACACATTTTTCCATTCGTAAAAGAACGATTCATCCCATCGCAAAAAAAGTTGAAATTGAGGCACCCCAGGAATAATTTCAGAGAGCTTTTCTGATAACTCAATGAATCCGGATGATATAATTCAGTTTTTATTTTATTTTTATCGCTGAATATTTTATTCAACTCTCCACGCCGAAGACTTATCTTAAAACTGCTTCAGGGGTTCTCATATGTTTTCATTGATGCTTAAACTCACAAGGAGCACTTTTTCAATCATAAGTTCACAAAATTTAGAACTTCTCATCAGTGGTGAACACTTTTTTCAACAGCCGAAAGAATTTATTCCTGAAAAGGTATTTTTCCCGACGTTCCCGTGATCGACAGACCATCCAGGAAGTCTAACAAAAATTAACAAACGAACCCATTCCTGAACATGCATAATATCCTTCGTTTCATCATGCTCCTTTGGATAGAATGGATGTATATTCGTTTTCAAGAAATTACTTGTAGGAAAAAATAGTCATTCATCATTGAACGACAAATATTCGCGAGACCTTTGGGAAACCCCGCGTGCACGCCACACGGATACCAAGGTGTCCACGGGAAAATGAATAGAAACAAGGCAGCAGACCTGAAGATAAAAAAAATAAAAATAACCCAGTCCAATGTCACCGAATTACAAGCATCGGACTACAAATTCCACCGACACCTCCAACGGGCTGGACAAGAACACCTCTCGTCGTCACCCGCGGCAGCAAAAGATGCGATCGAACCATCAATCAGATCTCAGCGTCTACCTAATAAATTTCTTGTTCTTTATACTGATGTACTTGCAAGAATACAGAAAAAATGAACAAAGGAATAATCTTTCAAGGGCCGGGTAAAAAAAAAAAGAGCGACAGGAAAAACATTCGGGGAAAAAATAAACACGGGTTTCGTATTACAACACTCGGAGTCGATCGAGATAACAACATTTACACTCCCCGGGAGTTGATGGAAAAACGGTGTTTCGGCTCGTCAGGTCGACACCTCCGGGTCCGACAAAAGCTGTTTGTCTTGACATTAGTGACGTATGCGTGAACTAAATGCAGAATGAAGAAAAGCATCAGGGGGAGGCAGAGAGAGAAAGGGAAAATAACGACAAATCCCGACGACGACGACGTCGACAATGACGGTTGTGTCATACCGGCGCGTGGAACATTCGCGTCAGCGACGTTTCTATATCGACGGAGATTGTGGCCAAGATTTTTGCAAAAGGCCACTCTTGAAAAACAACGGAGAAGCTTTTATTTTTCCGAGACATACAGGGTTTTGTCAAATTTTTACCCAAATTAATGACGAAGCCACTGTCAACGAAACGCGTGGCTCACATTTTTGCAAGAACACCACCCAATAAAAGCAATCAGAATGTCTCTATATACGATTTTTTTAGATATACTGCAACAGGCTTTGTACGAATCGTCTCAGAACAATAGCTTAAAGCCCTAAGAATAAAAAAAAAACAGACAGAGACCAAATACAATGTTCTGCTATTTTCTTCAGCTGTGTAAGAAACCCACACTGATTTTTGCAAAGACAAAAATCTTTTAGCATCAACGGAAAGTTTTACTGTGGGACAGTATTACACTTTCACTGAATTTTGTGAAAAACGTTTCTCGTGGCACACAAATAAATATTGCAGTTTGAAAAAGCATTCACTTCTTGAAAAACTTCGCTGGATTACACTGTATACTGTTCTTGCAATGTAAAATAATTGTCCACAAAGGTCGGTAACGTGAAAATTCGTCCACATTGGTCAATCCCTTGAGCAGCATACAAACAGAAGAAAAATCGCCAAAAATGCTTACACAGCGTGATGATAGTTCTTAAATTTCTCTTCGAGTTCTTTTCAAGATATAGTATGAAAAAAAGTAAGTACGTAGCAGGATTTAGCAACGCTCTCGACGTCAGAATCAGGCGTCGCAAAACTATTTTCAATTCCACGCTGAAAAAAAAAGGAAATGCTTGAATGATTCAAGAATGCGAACCAAACTTTTCCGGATCTCGAGGGAAATCACAAGATTTTGAAAAAGTGAAGTGTTTGCTTCACGGCAGTCTTGCGCATAGCAGTTCGAAGCAAAGATTCAAGGCCAGTTCTATTTTAAAAATTTTAGAATCGCTAGCAGCAGATAACGGATTCAGAAGTAGCCCTCACGAGTCTGCATTTTCTGCACACAAAAACAAACTGTTATCGGTTTTTTGAAATTCCTCAAAAATGCCAGGATTTCTCGCGAAAGAAAAAAAAAACGCGTCTCAGAACATTGCGTGATCAAAACGCCGCGAGTCAAATAGAGCGCAAGCCTGAATCAACATGTTCAAAGTAACGCTTGCCTTTTAAACCGCTCATCAAATAATGCTGGTGAAAATTGCAGTAGTTCCAAAAGATATCAAGCATTGAACAGCTTTTCACATATAGAAATCGCAGACAATTACCCACGCATTTCCGAAATATATTTGAGAAAAGCAATCTGAATTGAACTTTTTTTGTGATTCCGTACACCTCAAATTTTTAAATCTTGATGCAAATCAGTGCTTGCATTTTTGCAAAAAAATTTATTCATGCATACGCTCGCTGTATGGACGCCCTAAACTTTCTCGGCGCCACGTTGTCCGACACTCAGTTCATACAAAAAAAAAAAAAAACTCAGAACGTTTCGTAACACGGAAAAAGAGACGCAGATTTCGAAGTTGGCATGTCCCTTCGGGTTTCGAGTCAAAATACTTTGCATTCGCAAGCAGTAAAAAAAACCCCAGAAGAGAAGAGAATGAAGGTCGAAAGGAAACCATTCGCTTCCGTGTTCATAAAACACATCCCGTAACTTCAGGAAACCCGAGAGCCGAACTTCGAATCATCTTTTCAAGCCCGAGCTCTTCACCCAACACCCAATAACCCAAATCAGCCACTCAAGACCTAATGAAATTCCCATGCATCTGCGGAGCCAAACATTCACCGACGTGACGATGACAGCGCGAGAAAAATTAAGAAAAAAAAATCCATAAAAAATAAAAGAGAATATATCAATAAAAAGTAGAAAATGAAGAAAAGAGAGGATCGACAAGAGAACAAATTCTTGCTACTCACCAGATACGAAGACGACCTCGGAGATCATCATCCACCGAGCCGCGTAAAACAGCTGCAACTTGACAAACTTCCCGACACCGTTTCGCAACTTGATCTTCGCAAATCGCGGGTGTTGCAAAAGCTCGTCAACTGCATAATATGCCGTCGTCGGATTCGTGTTGTAGTACCTTCCACCAACACTGAAGAACACTCTTGCATACGAGAAAATCTGTCGACGATGAAAGAAATAATGATACTGTGTGTCAAGGTAATGCGTAAATCAAAGTCATCCCATTTTCATACAACGCACGATAAACATTCTTGAGATTTCGTGAAGGCTAACAATTTCCATCTTATCTGTGACTTGAAAAAAATTTCTTTTAACTAGAATAATGTAGTAGACATCATCGACTCTTATTAGACACTTCCTCAGATGCTTTACCTCGAATAAAAATTAACAAACGAAAACCTTTTCCAAGCTCATCTCAGACGCACGCCCAAAATTCTGGTATGAACGTCAATTCGAAAAGCGCACAATTTTTTGAAAATTGGAGCATTTCCAAACGCAACGTCCTCAAAAGAAAATTTTCAAAAAAGAGGCTCCCGAGCAATTTTCATGGGAGTTGAATTATCCACGCAAGCAATTTTCTGATTATCAAGCCAATTAAGAAAAAACTGAATTACTTAGAAAATATTTGCTATGGTTGCTTCTTCAGAGTTGAATTTTAAATTGTTCAGACTCAGATCAGGCAAACTTCCATTCGGAGGTAGAACGAAAACTGCTGGTATACAGTACATTAATCACCGAGACTAACGTCAAATTTGTGAATCTTCTTATATATACAATGGAATATACTGTAATACAGTATTTGCGCATTTTTATTGCTTTTTGTAAAAGCTGAAATCGGAATCAAGTGCGTTTTACTTCATGACGTTGGAATAATTAAGCATGCCACAACTGTTGAAGATGTATTTCTCTTCATGCCTTTGAATTCCAACCGAATTTCCATTCAGAATGACCCATTTTATCGAGATCCCCTGCTGTGAAGGCTAACATTACCGTTGTAGGAACGATCTTCAGTGATATGGAAAGGTCATTTTCGGCAGAATCTTGAAAGCAATTAAGAAACCCGATTTCTCGCTCGAACCTTGGGAAAGATTTCACCCATTCAGAACAAACCAGCGCTAATTACTTTAGCTTTGCACGTAAATTGAGTAATTGTTCATTTCGTTCAGATAATCTTTTCGATAAACGTCTTACGGATCCTCGACATCCTGAGAAACTTTCCCAGGACACAGAAATATGCTGGTTTCCACGAAATAAGCTCCTTTGGTGGTAAATAGAAACCTGATAATGCAAGCCGCTCAGAAATTTGGTAAGATTATTCCTCACTAAAAATGAAGATCTTTTTTTTTATTATTCCGAGGACCTAATTCCGATAACCAATCAAAGGCTATTTGGGATTGAAAAATTGGGTTCTTTCATTTAACCGAGACTCTAGAAGATGACCGAATCATTTATTGGTTTTTTCCCTTGGAACTTGGAAGCTCAATTTTTTTCGTTTGACCACCAATTTTCTTTTAAGGCTACCAGAAATTTGTTTTCAAGCCCGATTTTACCTTACATCCTTGAGTTTGCGTCGGTAGAGTGGTTTTCCTCGAAGGAAGCACTTTTTCCATGTTTTAAAAATTGGAATCATAAAAGGAACTTGATAGGATCATCTTTCGAAGGCCGAGGACTCCGAAAAGTCGTAAACAACCAGCGTGTTCACATTTTCAATGCATGTTTTTAAAAGGTCCAAGATAATCAGTGAAATCCCTCGGCAGGAAAATTTCCTCGGGAAAAGCAACGCTAGCGGTTTTTTTTACCATTCGTCACGCAGACCACTCTTTGTTTTCCGCCGCTACTATAAGGACAACTCGTTTCGCTTCATCCTTTGATCAGCGTCATCATCATCATCATCATTATCATCATCAGAAGAAGACGATCATCTCTGTCTTGCATTTTTTCTTCTTCTTCTTATCACCTCGTGGCACATGAAGACCGAAAGAAGATTCTGCATCCAGTGATTGCGCACTGAAGCGTGTCCGATTGAACTCACCTTGACGTTCTCAGAGAACCTGTTGCTCATGTACAGCGACACTTCAGTGAAGTTCCTGACGTCGTCGAACTCAAACGTGATCTCCACTGGACTCGCTGATCCGGTCACGTTTTTCCAGCCCACCCACGGCGAAACTGAGGACAGAAGAGCCGATCAAAATGAATCACGGTTAGTCAAAGATTGTCAAAGGGGGATTCATAAAAAAAACCGATATGCTTCTGATTCTTTCGTTTCTCCCGAACAGTCACGAATATCTGCGTGGAACAAAAATATTCTTCCGAATAAAATCCAAGAAAATTCCTTCCAGGATAAGCACACTTTTTCCAAGAGAGAGCGTTGAAAAATGCACGGACTTTTCCGTACCGGACGGTTAACGATTTGAATACGATTAGATCAGCTTGGGAAGAGATAAGCAAGCGTTATGTCATTGAAATTAACATCCCGAAATGCATTTTCAATTTGAGTATTTTTGAGTTCAAGTGACGAAAGAACTCGCGTCGAAAAACATGCAATGATCACAATACTGCAGATGCAAAAAAAAAAAAAAAAACTACGCTGAGCCGTAGACTCATTTTTAATGCTATCGAAACTTATGAAATCCTCAATTTTAAAGAAAGTACAGTACTGCACTGTACAGTACTATCTTCCTTCCAATAAAAGCTGAAGCTCACCACTCGTAACTCAGCTTTCAAATTCGCATTCAAAAAGCCACGACCGAAAGCGCAATCTTCCAAGCAGGCAGAAACCAAAGAAACGACTCAATCAACGATTTATTGCGCATTCTGATGAGACATAAAACCCGGCAAGACCTTTTTTTTTTGGCTCTTGATAGCTATCCCGATCACCACAGAATTAATCATTCCAATCAATAAGCAATCTCAGCCAAGGTCTGCCCACATGAAACCTCCAAATGCTCGTACATATTTTATTGTCCAGTCCCTCGTCTTTCTCATTCGAAAACAGATATGGAAAGCACTTGAAGAAAAAAAAAACGCAATCAGAATGACATGAGGCTGATCGCAAAAGCATTCACGTTCCCCGGCGTCAATCAAGGCGTGGATGGAAAATTTAAACCAAACAGCGTTGGGGAAGGGGAAAAAACCGAACCCGCGGCGGCGACAGGTTGCGCAACCGCGGCTTTAATAAGCGCATTCGGTCGCTCTCTCTCTCCTCTCTCTTAGGGGCTTCTGGTCTGGGTTTTGAGTAGCACATTATACGGGTTTCATACACACGGTGGCTGCAGGCAATGAGAAAATAATACAAACGAAAAACAAGGAGCAACTTTTTTTTTTCTTTTTCGGGAAGCAGCCGCGCGGGGTTGCCGTGAGGCGTCTAGGGTTACCCTCCTTCGGGCTCTGAACTGAAAGAACGGCATCAGTTTCTCTCCGTTTGGCTCAAGTCACAGCTGTTCAATTGATGCAGAAAATTATTTCGATACAAATGGAGGGAAATTATGTCTGCCTGTGTGAATAGTATTTCGGTTAATGGACTGAACCATTTACATCGGGAAGCACTTAATAATAAAATGACACTGACTGAGAAAAGTACCAGATTGTAGAACGGCCATTAATTTTTAGTTTGCCAAAAATTACCTTGACTGAGAAACTAGTGGCTACATAACTCCTTCCAGGTTTCGAGGCGAATTTATTTCATCGATTCTTCAACTATTGAAGCAACACATGCATTTCAACGCGATATACAGTACTACCAGTTGATAATAAGAAATACCCAGACAAAGAAAAAGCGATGATCAAAATGATGATGAGTAAATTATGCTGGTACAGTAGCTAAATTTCGTACAACGAAGTGGCTTTTTTTCTTTTCGGACGAACAATTTTGATTAATTCTAATTTCCGAAAGAGAACCCAATGTTCGAAGCAAAAAATCGGCGGCGAGTTTATTTTTCGTGCAAATAACCTCCGCACAATTATTTAATGTTTATTTTTCTTTCTGAAAGTCAAGTCCGAACCTTGGCACAGGCTAAACATTACGTATGCATTTGCTGTATTTTATCGCAAATATCGCGGAAGAAACGAACCGTGATTCACGCTTGCATGATTCGCTCATTTCCAACTGCAAAGCCCGAAAAAGCGTGATGCTCGATGGATTTTGGCTTGAAAACCGACATCATCGGTGTGATTCCGAGAATTAAATCTTTAAACGATGCTTAAACAATTTTGATTTTAAAAAACATGAGCGTCACAAAAATGTTGGGCACGACAAAATGACCCATTCCGAGCCTCTTCAAGAAGTGATTTAGTTTTAATACACGGTCAGCTACTCATTACTCTACAATTTTCTCTATAAAGAAGGTCAGGAAGGTACTAGATAAAAGCTGAATTTAGTCGTTTCGCGCGACCTGTGAACCCATTTAAACTTTTGGGAAGAAGATAATCGCCGTTGATGTTACGTTATTCGTATTCTTTTGTCCAAAAACTATTAGAACGCTACTGCCGCTGATTATCATCGCAGGGAGAAGAAATCGAACAAAAATACACTGACCCCAGTTCGACTGAGCAAGAGGCTGATGTGTTTACTTTAAATTCCTGAACTGAAGACGGCATCTACAATGCAAACCGAAAGAAACCGATAAATTAATCCGGAATGAGAATGTATCATTAGCTGAAGCCCCTTGAGCCCCGCTGATGCAGCAAATGCATCGGTATACATGCAATTAAGGGCGTAATTCTCGTAACGAGCAGCTGGCGTTTAAATAATCCGTAATGCGCTGAAGAAGGTTCGAGGGAAACATATTTCAAACGGTCCCACACGAACCCCTGCACTGGGATCGATGTTTCATCCTTTGTCCTCCTCCACCCATGCATTTCATGTTTTCTTTTCAGAGAAATAAAGGGTTCGCAAGAAAATCAAAACGGGATTCAAAGTTCCCCAAAAAATCGTCGTAAAAATGTGTAATCTCTTAAGCCGTCAAAGGAAAAAAAAAAAAAGTTCAAAAATATCGGGGAATATTCTCCTCAATGACACTTGCCCTAACCTGACCTGACCTTCATTTCTTCAATGGTTTCTCGTTCACCAGCTTTTCCTTTGAACTGTTCCGCATAGTTCTTTGAAAACTATTTTTCACCGCGCTCAAGATCAAAATAAAAATCAATTACATTTTACACAAATACTAACCACACCCACTAAATAGAAAACCTTATCTAACTTTTATGCCTCAAAAGCGGAATAATATATGTGTGAATAAATTCGAAGTATACATACGAAATTGAAACATGCACTTTCAATTGAATTAGCATCTGGCAGCTTTCACGACGAGTAAAATATGAGGCAATAATTGTGCCTTAAAGGATCAAGTCCCAGACGAGAAAGAACAAAAAAAATACAAGGTCACGAAAGAGAAAGCCTCGTAATCTGAACCAAAGAAATAAATGTTGCCTAATTTAACCAATATAACCTACAAAAAACATATGTAATCTAACCTAAATAAACTAAAGTATTCCATTTGAGGAAAACCTGACCTAATCTAACGTGAGCTGACTTCCTAAGCTTTCTGTTCTGTTACGTTCAATTTTTCTGTTACGCGAACTAAGAAAAGTATACTGTACCGTATTGTTAAAATCATGATGAGTGGCCGTTCGTCAGAGTTTCTGGAATTTCAATTTTCTTTATGCGAGATCGTTTGGAATATTGAAACGACGAAGAAGAGAAATTAACCGTATTCCTGAGAGATTTAACTGGAATGTCAACGCTGGTTCGCATTCCAGCAACTATAGGCAGGGACCGTTGGGAATTGCATTCTGTTTCGGGTAACCGTCTCTAAACTATAAGGATGCTTCACTTCACCTTTTACACATGAGGTAAAATATATACTGTACTATATATATATATATTAAAAAAAAAAAACCTTGTAAAGCCGCAACAGGGCACGCGATTAAATTTAAGCGGAGTTTTCACTAATCGCTTCTCCGTGTGGCCACGAACTGCGTGCGTTATAGCAAGGCACGGTTATACTTTAATTGCCTCATTCGTCACAATCCGTTGCCCACCCACTCACACAAAAACCCCGGCGGTGTTTTCTTAATCGCGTTGCCGGGAAAATCTCGTGCACCCACTTTAACTCAGCAGCAGGTCGTGCGGTTCTATAGGCCAGGCAACTGAGCTGATCCCGGCGGGGCTTGCCAGAGATTAGGGTAATTAATGTGCCTTGAAAAGGAGCAATTGGTGGTCTAGTTTAGCCAGAGGCTCGGAAACCAATTAACGTTTTCGCCGGGAGTTCCGATTCCCTACACGAGCGGGCTAGCATTCAAAGTTCCCAAAAAGGACCCGTTGCAGACGGGACCATATTTGAGAACCCCGAATTGGCAACACTCGGCGAATACTGTAATCACGACACGTGAACTAGTCTATAGAACTTAATTTTCTCCGCACAACGATTTTTTGTGTGGTCCCCTATCCCTATAGGGTCCTCTTCCCGTGGTATATAATGTACTCAGGGGTTGTCTAAAACGAAATTTCTCCCTGCGACGAATTTTTTCTGGTCCCTTGAATTTCGTTTTGGATAGAGACAGAGACAGAGTCCACCTGTGTTTACCTTTACGGGCAGTAGGTTCAATTTTTATGCCCTGAGAATACGCCTAAAATTCGGAGTATTTTCAAATGTGAAAGATGCATAAACAATTCATCGGATATGCGAAAGGTTCAAATTGGCAACACTCGAAGAGTTTTTGAATTTAATTTGACTTTAAGAGCAGTACGATGCATAAGCTTATCGAATACTGTACTGTCCAGACTCAAGAGCATGTTCAAGATTTTGGCAATTTTGATTTAATAGATGCAAAATCGATTTAGCAGACGATTCGAGTGTTTCTCCCGGCCACATTAAGTAAGATGTAGCCGAAATTCCATTCAATTTTTTCAGCGCATTTGTAAACTTGTTGATTTCTTGAATTCTGCATTTTTGAAGAGTGGCTGTTGAATCTACAGTAAAAGATCAGTGCCAGAAGTCGTGCAGAGAGAAATAAAGCCGAATCTTGCGGTTGAATTAATCGATTACATTTCACTCGGACCGGATTCCGTGATGCTTCATCTTTTCGTTCTGGATGGAAAAGGAAACCGTAATTTTTCCAATGAATCCCATTTTTGCTGACCAAACCGCACAGTAGAGGTCAGTAATGAAC